TTTAAACATAAATCAGAATTTTCTTTTTATATATGTTAATATATTGATTTATTAATTTAAACAAACTTGCTGATCCCAGTGCGTAGCAACGAGTAACTGCCAGTATCAACTAAAAAAAAAAAATTAAATATGCAAACTTCCAATAATTCAAATGAATGTATTGAAGAATAAGTTTCAAGCAAAGATATCAAATGCTACAAATACAAACATTTTAGCAATTTTCAAGAGATTGGTATAGGCGGCTTTGGAAAAGTTTATCGTGCAAGTTGGAAAAGCTCAAAGTAATACCATGCATTAAAATCATTTCATAACTTTAACAATAACATTGTTAAAGAACTTGTTCATGAGGTAGTTACAAAGGCAATATTGCATTTCATTCTATTTAGTATAAAATTATTTATATATCAAACTAAAATTTATATTCGTAATAATTTAGCTCAGACTTTATTATGGAATTGATTTTCATAGTAATATTATTCGTTTTTATGGAATAACTTCAAAACAAAGTAATAAATATTTATAATAAAGTTTATTTAATATATCTTATTTTTATTTTTAATTTTAACTAATTTTATTTATTTTAAAAATTAGAAAAACAAAATGATCAATTGAAAAAGTATTGGTTAGTGATGAAATATGCCGACGGCGATGCACTAAGAAAATATTTGAAGGAAAATTTTGATAAATTTGGGATGATAAATACAAATTTGCATATCAGTTGGCTAGCGTAGTATCATATTTACATGAAGAAGAAATTGTGCATCGTGATTTGGTTGGTAATCTTACATTTTATATATTTAATTTTTCAATACTTTTAATAATAAAATTTTAAATTTTATATATATATATTAGCATTCCAATAACATATTGATTCATCAACATACTATTAAACTAGCGGATTTTGGATTATCTAAAAGAATTAAAGAAGCAACTAAAAAACATTCAGAAGTATTTGGTGTACTTCCTTATGTTGATCTAAAAAGGTTTGTCAGGCAGAGGAAAAATGACAATACATTGCAACCATATATGTTAAATGAAAAAAGTGATGTTTACAGTGTTGGCATGCTATTATAGGAGATATCAAGTGGTAGACCACCTTTTTACTTTGAAGGTGTAGAATATGACATTATTTTAACCATAGACATTTTACAAGGACTCAGAGAAAGTATCATTTCTAATACTCCTGAATTTTATGTAAACATTTATACAGGTAAATATATTATTTTGATTATAACTTTAAATATATGATGTTTTCGATCATTAAAATTTTGTATGTGATTTTAGATTGTTGGGAAGGTGAGCCAGAAGATCATTTGATTATAAACAAATAGTTGATGCATTAAATGCAATTCTTACAAAAACTAATATATTAGAAAATGAACAAATAAATGAAGAATCAAATATTCAATTGTCTGATAAATCTTCTCATTCAT